ATAAATCACTTTATTTCTCCTTGAAATAGAAAAAGGACTAGGAAATGGAATTTGTTTGCTGCTATAAACTGTTATAAACCAGGTGTCCTTTCCAGTTGGGCTGCTTGCCATTATTTACTGGAGGGCAAAGGTTGATAGTATTGCTTTAATTTTTCTTGTCCTCCTGTTCCTTTTGACTGCCATCCCTTCCATACTGCTGCTTTGAAGTAACTGCTCTTTTGACTGTGTTGCTGCTGCTCTGGCTCCTGGGAATGGCTCTTTATGGAAAGTTGGCTGGAGACAAAAGTGAAAGTAATAGCTTTAAAATGCCATTGGGGAGGGATAAAGGGAAAAAATAAAGTTTCTCTTTTTTTTCACTAGTATGTCTATGTTGCTTTATGTATCGTCCCTTTCTCTTTATGGAAAAGGCAAACTGATGTAACTTTGAAATAGAGTATCTTTTGTCATAGGTTATCTACCTACCAAAGGTATCTGTCTACCCTTCATAGGTAGGTGGGTGTCATGTCCCACAGAAAGAGCCCCAGTCTAATCTTTGCATTTTTTAGCCTGCATAATAGCAATGTCAGGGAGTTTTGGAAAGTAAAATTGAAGGATATTTGATCTTGAGTTTTTGATGTAGAAGTAGGATTAGCAAATATGATAATATTGTTTATATATGTTATGTTTAATCTCCTGCTGCTAATATTAATATTTCTCATTAAATTATTGTTAGTGTGAGTTGTTACAGAGTTCTCTAATCCTGGAGTGCTATTTTACAGAAGTATTTTTTTAGATAAGGTTTTTGAAAAAAGTGGTTATTATTTGTTGAAGTCCCTTAATATATTAACATTTTAAAAACAATTATTCCTTTTTTTTTGCTTATTGCAAAACTGCAGGTTTAAATTATTAATAAAATAGTTCACGTTTACATGTTTAATTTCTGGTCTAATCTGAAGTCCTTGCCATTGCCAGGATTTTCATATATATGACATAAATATTACTCCTGTAATATCACAAACATTATATAAAGCCTTCACTTCCTTTTATTTGGCATACATTAGATAGAAACTGCCTTGTACTTTATCTCTGCACTGAATGAATTGCTGTTTGAGAGTCAATTTAATGTTCAGGAAAGATAAAGGCCTGACAGCACTGGAGAATGAAGCTCGCTTTCATTCACGGACTGCACACATGTACTGTCCATATGGATTTCTGGGTGCTGTTGTGACATTGTATGCTAAGATTGATTTGGAGGACTGCCAGACAGGGAGGAGCATTCCTAAATAAGTCATTTGTCTTTCTACTTGCATTAATTCTTAAAGAATTTAAATGTGTGTTCGTATGAGATGGGTTTAAAGTTGCTACTTCCTTTGAGAGAAGCCGAGAAGGAGCCATTATGAAGTTACAAATAGTTGGACATAGGTAAATAACTCTTATTCCTAGTATTGCATCATTTGAGTGATCAACTTTTCTGCTTGTGAAGATTTAGCTTTCAGATGAACTGTTCAGACAATTAAAATAATTCATATACAGTAATTGATGTGTTTTCTGGAACTAGCTAGGTCTTTCCACTTGTCTTTAAATATACCATTTTTCTACCAAGGTAGAAGCCTCGTACAGAATCTCTTTGTTGTTGCAGTTTTAATTCGTGCGAGAGTTGGCACCTGAAATATAATGACGGCCTGTTCATACGGCTGTTGCACTTAGTCTCTCCGAATCTCCCGTTGGATGGTTCCAGAGGGAAGACAAGCTAGGAAAGCGAGGATACCAGCACTGAAATCTAGGTTTGCGTTTAGGCAAATGCCCTGTTTAACTGATCTAGCAACAATAAAGTACCTTGCCGCAAACATATTGCTGCCTGCCCAAAGACATCTCACTGTTAGCACACCATGGCGCGTCATCCTTAGTGTAGTTAAGAGCTGGATTCTTGCCTGTGGACGGAAGGATTTTTAGCATCTCCTCATGCTTTGAGCTTCTTCTCCATTTTTTTATGCAGTATCAAAATTGCTTCTTTTTCAGACTCTTTCCATCCATTGTAAACTATTCTAGTTCATGTTAGTTCAGATTACTTCCATTTAATGTTGTAAACATTTTTTACATTCTTTTTCTTTTGTGGAAGATATTTCTGATCAGATATTTTTAGAGCTTTTTTCTTCTGCTCTTCATGGTCTCTTTATTCCAGGCACGTTGCTGCTTGTCAGATTCTCTTTCAATTTCTGTTTTGCTTTTGCAGTAATTGGCAGTCACCCTCTTGGAGTTCCTGAGGGAAATCATACATGTAGGGTATAACCACAGCAGCACCTGAGTGATAACACTGTAGGGCAGGAGTCAGAAAGTCATCAGCGGAAGAGAGAAAAAAATGTGAAAAGCCAGAAGTAAGCAAACTGGAGCAGCAGGGACACTGGGCATCCTTCACTTTCAATGCTCTTTCAATAGGCAATTTTGGGGTGGAAATGTAGATATCTATTCAAATTTCATGGTATCGTTTGTTAGCAGAGAGTACTATTTGTGAAAAATTTAATATTCATTAGCTTATACATGGCGATGAATATCCTTGACTATCTTTTGTAGCTATCCTTTTCCTCTATTTTATTTCAATGTTTCTCTTATATTAATTTTTTATTGGAGAAAGAGGTTAATTGTATTGTCAGCTTACAGGTTTTGTTTTGTTTTAAATTCAAACCCTACATTTACTTCTTTAAGTGTTTTTTGTGTGTGTGTATGCATATTGCATGCATATTTCGTAATACACTTTGATTTTTGGATGGATATTTGTAAGCAGAAATGGCTGCTGAGAGTAAATGTGGAATTGTAGACAATAAACTCTAGGTTCTCGTGATACCTCTTTAGAGCTTTCTTTGGAGACCACTAGTGCTTATTTGGATGTTCTCCTGTATTGAATGATGATGAAAAAAAAGCTATAGGTGAAGAATGGAGCAAGGAGGTGGATCAGAATAAAACCAAATAGCAGCAAATCTCTACTGTTTTTCTGAGTATCCCTTGCCTAGTAGGTTTGTTGGCTTTGAGCAGTTTCAGTATTAGGTTGCTGGGTCAGATCTATTTCTGATCGGTTAAGATTGAAGTTTGTTGTTAATGTGGACTTGTTAATGTGAAATGTGTTTGATCATGATTCAATTGACAGGCCTGGTCATAAATCACCACCAGGGTTGTTACTAATTGATCTATCTTTTCAAATTGAACCACTGTCCTCTATCTATAGGCCAGAGAGGGGACGTGGTTGATAGAAGTAACCTTGCCCTGCTGCCATGTGTACTTCATATCTCTTTAAAAATAACTAAAATAATTTTAAGATGATTAAGGACCTGGAGCATCTGTCCTGTGAGGAAAGGTTGAGAGAGCTGGGCCTGTTCAGCCTAAAGAAAAGGCTGAGAAAGGTTCTTAGAAATGGTTATAAATGCCTTAAGGGAGGTTGTCAAGAGGAGGGGGCCGGACTCTATTCAATGGTGGCCGGCGACAAAAGAAGAGGCAGCAGCTACAGACTGAAACACCGAAAGTTCTGCCTGAATTTGAGGAAAAACTTCTTGACTGTTAGGGTGACAGAGCATTGGAACAGGTTGCCCAGAGAGGTTGTGCAGTCTCCTTCCTCGGAGATACGGAAAAGTCTTCTGAGTGTGATACTGTCAGAGTGCTCCAGGTAACCCTGCTTGTGCAGAGGAATTGTTCTAGATCTCCAGAGGTCCCTTCCAATCTTAATTGTTCTGTGATTCTGTGATTCTCCTTTCAATGGAATTGAATTTTCCCACATCTTCATTTTTGGATGCATAGGAAGCCTATCTGAAGAACCTTGTAATACAGTGAAGTCTATTTTCAAAACATCTAAATGTCTTCTTATCTTGCAGAGGTAGAAATATGCATGGCATCTGCAATTTTAATTGGCATACAGGAATGGTTCTGTTGGCATACAAAGCTGTGTGATTTTATTTTGAATTTGGAAACAGTACTACTAGGAGTGCTGCTGTTCAGTTCATTAGTTTCCTGGAATTATTACTCTAGCTTATTTCTGGACAGAATAATAAACAACCCTGGGAAAACTGTAGTATAACACTGAATATTGCATTCATGTACAGAGAACTGTTTTTTTTTTTTCATCTCTGTTCATTTCGTCGCAGTTTGAAGATTACTTTCTAACCTATGCTGCAGCATCAAAGCACGCATAAATGTTTCAGCTACTTGACAGGTAAAACATTAGCACCAAGAAACCTTAAAGGATGTATTTAATTTAACTCAGCCCTTTTTTGTTTGTTTTTTTTTTTTTTTTTTTTGTCTTTGCTCATGACAGTGTTGGATTTTGGAGCTATACTGACTGTTAAGATGCAGCCTGTGAGAATGAGCACCTGATCCTATAAAAATGCTGCAGTTAGTATAATGAGATATGTTTTCTGGGGAGTCTTTTCTGCTTGGATCCTCCTTGCTATTGAAGGTTGATGCCATGTTGTCCTTTCAAGAGAAGCAGCCTTAAGGAAATGAGGGGAGACTAGGACTGTAGGAGGAATAATTTGAAGACAAAAACAGTTGTTTAGCTATAAAGAAATCAGTGGGAAGATGATGAATTGAGTTTACACATTTCTGAGGGCCATGAATATTTGTTAAGTATCAAAGCTACTAGCTCTTTATTTTTGGAATGCCTATTGTAGTGTAATATAATTAACTTCAGAAGCTAGCTCTATAAATTAAGCATTGCAGTCAAGGTCATCAGGGATACAGGGACTGTTGGAGTTGTTGCTTCATTCTGTGGGCTTACAATTAAACAAAAAATAATTGTAGGTAGGTAGCAATGCATTTTTTATCATCAGCCTTTTTCATCAGAATACTAGAGTGCAGTAGCAGCATAGTACATAGATCCCCGAATTAAAAGCTGTGAGTGTAGTCTAAATCATTTGGAGCCTTGCAGCATTTGCCAAATGTGCCTGTGCTAGCTGCAATCGTGCGTTGAAAAAAAGCGAGGTTTGTGGCAGAATTACCAATCATAAAATACATGTTTATATTTTCTTTTTAGGATCAAGTAGAACACACTGATTCAGCAGAACTGGCTGGTTGTGCTGCAGTCATCATGAGTAGGCACAGGGTCATTTGTTTCTTATCACATGTATGAGAGAAAAAGGTAAGAGGCAAGTTCCATTTTAAAAGATTATGACTGAGAATATGTACTTGAGATGCAGATGTCTTTATGTGTATACATACATTTATACAGACACATGCCTGTACACATGCATACATCTTGTGTATAAGATAATGGAGTATTTTTAGCATTTTGTGTGTTCATTTTTTATTGATAGTAATTGCTTAGTTTTAGAGCAAGAATTTGTCTTATTTTGGGGTGAGGGAAGCAGACTAAATCTTCCTTCCTCAGTCTTTACTGTTAAAATCTTGTCAGTTAAAGATGTGGCTAGTGCTGAACTTTCTGAACAAGCTGTTTATTACAGTGGAAATGCTTGACTTCTTTCAAGGAGTGTTTAGTATAATGGTCACTGAAGGGAGCTGGAAGCGAGTGTGTTCTTGACCATTGTTTCTTGGGGTTGAAGCCTGTCCTCGGGAGCATTAGATCTCATGACTTTGTGAAGTAGATACGCAATTGCATATGCATATAATCATATTATGAGAAAATTATATTTTTTTATTTAGACTATGAACCGAGGATGAAAAAGCAATGTTTGGTTTCAGTCTGATCATGTAGTTTTCATCCTAGGAGTCTTTTGTATGCTTGATAAAGACAATAAAATACTTGAGTATTTTGTTAGTAAAATTTTGCTGAAATATGTTCACACTTTCATACTGAAACATAGTAATCTCTTTTCCATCGAAAATGGACTTTAGGGAAAGTGTATTTTTTCATATTCATATGTTTTTGTTGTTTTTCTTTATAATAATCATTGTTGGTGTTAGACCTGAAGATTTGCAGCTGACCATTTTCTGAGAAGTATCTAGTTGCACAGACATTAAGATTTCATTTAGAGCAGCTGTCAGCTCAGTGATTATGAATTCAAAAAAAATCCCTATATATCCTAGTACACCAGTAAATGAAGTAATAATAATGAAAAGGGCTTTCTCTCCTGATGCTCTTTATTTTGTGCATTTTAGTTTGGAGTATCAGAAACCATCAGTCTAGATTTTGACTAGTTACGTTCTTGTGTGCCAAATGTTTGAGCTGCAGAATTCGTAATGATACATAAATGTGTTTACACAAAGTTCTCTTTACTTGGAGCTTTTTTTAAAAGCAAACTATGGAGAAATGCATCTGTTGGATGAAATTTCAACTCTCAATTTCACATTTAATGGCTAAATTAATTCTGGCAGTTTAATTGCCAGATCTTAATAAATTAATTTTTTCATGGTGTTAGTAGGTTGGATTACTCACAGTGGGATTATAAGGAAATAGGCATAAAGTTCTAGGGCTTCTTTATGTTCCTGTTGGTAAATAGGTAATTTTCCTAAGTTCAATAAGTTCCAAATGTTTATATTCTTTTAATGTTACAAAACTATGCATAATCTAAAATTTTAAAAGTTAAACTTCTGGTTTTTTTTTCAGAAAAAGACAGAAGTCATTAATATAGTAATGTGTATTGTCAACTTCTAACATTGCTTACTTTGGTTAGATATAATCTTGTTCTTGATTTGTGTGACAATGAAAGACAAAATAATATAGGGCTACATTTAGGAATTGTTATGGGTGAACATGGTTTAAATTTTTCTTGCACCAATGTGCATAAATTTGTGGGAGTTCTTAAGTAATTTTATTGGGCTTTTAATTGTATTCCAAGCTTGCAGGAATGATCAGATGTGAATTGGTTTGAAACTTGTGGAAGCTACATGGAATCAAAATGTAGAGGTCCACAGAGGTATTTAAAACCTCTGCTTTCAGGAACTGTATAATCAGCATAGCTCTCCTTCCCATCAACTTGCTTGTCAGTAATCATTATCTTCTCTGAAGTAAACAAAACGGAAAAAATCAATGCCTGTAGCCTATTTTGTTGGGGCCACCCATACTGCAGAGCTTGTGTTTGTGTCCTAGGGAATGCCTTGACTGGATGCCCTTTCTCAGTATCGGAATGCATGGAAATCCAAATGGGATATTTTCAGGAAGCATCACGGTTTGACTCTATTGTGCACAGTTTTAGTACTTTTCAGTCTCACAATATGACAAATGTAGTTTACATTGAAGACCTTAGACTTTTTCCAGGAGTAATTATTGTAATTTTTCTAAAGTCTTGGATTGGATTGTTATAATATTATAATGTAACTTATATAATTTCACATTTGTCCTATATTTGGCATTTTGCATAAAGCAGTCTTGCTGTAGCAAGTTAATTTTGGTTGATGATACTAAAAGCTTGTTTTCAAGGAAAATATTAATTAAGGTATTAAAACAGATTCTAATGAACTTCTCAGTATTAGATACTTAGCTTATAAAGGTGCTTGCCATCATGGTGTTGAAACGAGGAAGAGAAAAAGGTGCAAGAGAACCTCCCAAGCTTGCAAGCTGGAGATAATCTGAATGATTTAAGTATTTCTAGGTACTAGGAAAAGCATCTACTTTTTTCAAGCAGATCAAAAAAAATTTTAATTGGAATGAACGCGTGTGGTAAATTCAACTTTTTTCCAGTTAAAATGCTATGAGTGGTATGTACAATTTTTAGTACAGTGACCTGGTTGGCAGGTTGGGTAGCTCAGGAAGATAATGGGTGTCTGTTGGGGAGCTAAGAATCTATCAGTTAGAGGCCAGAATCTGGCTATACTGCGGTCAGGAAAGCAAATATAGTAGGGAATGTTGAGCTTTTGATCAAGGTGGCTGCTACAATACATTGGTGATCAGTAAGTGATACAGCTCATGAGTGATTTTCCTTGCAGGAGGAGTTAATCTTGCATCCTGTAGCAGACTGAAATATAGTTGTACAAATCTGTGAGTGTGTAACAACTGTAGTCTCTGAATTGCTTTGCAAAATAGCCTTTTTGGTGATGCCTATTGAAATTCATAATTTACCATTATACTTGTTTTTTTTAAAGTTGAATTTTTCCATTTATCTTCAAAACGTAAAATCAATTTGAATGCATCAAATAGTGATGTACTTATGTTGTAATATGACCTATTTAAAAATACCATGTGGCAAATTTCAGATCAGGGTCAATCCTAAAAGCCTGATCTTTGCATTTCATGACATTTTAATGCCTTAGTTTGGTCCCAATAGCTTGGTCTTAGGCAGCTGTTGCCCACAATGAACACAAAACTGTATTTAACACTGTAGCAGTTGAAGTAGTGCTGGTCAATAATTTCCTCAAATCTGTTTGTTTTTACACAATACCCTGATATTGTAAGGGTAGTGTTAAAGCAAAACTTTATAACTCTAAATTGGAATTTTCCTCTAACTTGTTTCTTGTGTCTGTTGTTTCTGTAGTATAAAAGAGCAGGCTTTGAGTTCAGCTGGAGGCTGTCAGGTCTAACACTGTTTCCCACTGCAAAACGAGGTTCTCACCCTCTCATCCTCCATTCGTTGTTTCACAGTATTAAAAGGCAGCTCTGAGGAGAATAACACTGTTTTGGATGGTGTTCAGAGAACAGATCAAATCAAGGTCTCTCCCTTTGGTATATAGGTTATGGCACACATTTCTCAGTGAAAATATCTTCATTGGCACTGAGTGTTTTCAGAAAATGGGTCTAGGCTGTCTTGTTGCTGGAAGCCTTCGGTAGCAAGACTGTTGTATTCCTACAGTTAGGAAGGGGCAAAGTGTTATTCACCATGTGAAGCTGTAGAAGGTTATTTAAGGACTTAAGTTCATCTGTTTCACCCTCGTCATCTTCCTTTCTATCTTGAGAATATTATTTTTTGATGAGACTTTTTACTTCTGTGCATTTTGCTAGTTGTCCAGTGCCTGCATTTCAGGAAAATGAAGGCTTTTAAGACAAACATTTTAAGAGGTAGCAGAATGCAAGTAACTACATTTTTTTAACAACTTTGCAGGCATGAATCCTTCAGGCATCTCAGAAACGAGTGACACAGAGGGTTGCTGGCAGAGTGTATGATTAAGAAAGCAGAAGCAGAGAATTAAAATCTTGTTCAAAGTCACATGAGCTAATCAGTGGTGGAATGAACCCAAAACCTGGATCTTCAGATTATTGGGTAGTTGACTTTCTAGTTCTGCAGGCAATGACATTTTTGACTGATATTGGAGCAATTTTGCTGGTGACCCTTGTGGTTAGACACATTAATGTGGCAATACAAGGAAGGTTGTACTGCCATCATCATTTGCTACCTGAAACGTCTTAAAGGCTACTGCTGCCTTTGATGACAGTTCTGTTTAAATTCTCAGATGAAGGTCAGTGTTTTTCTTGAATGTAAAAAGTTGAGACAAGGCCTTGAAATGCTTAAAGTAGCATTGATAATGAGCTGTGAGGGCAAAGGCATGTGATTGAGTTTGACGTTTTCAGTGCAATATAGTTAAATATATCCTTGCTCATCAGTTACAATGACAGTGCTTTAGTAACTACTGATAAAAAATCTTACTCTTTCCTCCTCAACCCCCTATTTATTGTGGTGGAAAAAAAATCAGGGGTCTATATAAAAAAGTGCATTGATATGTAATGGAAATAAAGGCTTCAAATAAGAGAATAGTGGAATGTTTCTTATGTAGGTTGCATTATGCAGGTCCTAAGTCAAAATTGCTTAAGAAAGGACTGTGTGACTTTCATTTTTGTTATGTTGCCCTAAATAGAAGTTTCTGAACAGACAGGACATCTCTAAATTGCAGAAATCGATTTGAGGTGCTGTCTGTACATATCTTTCTCCCAGATCCTGGACAAATCTCGCTTTACCTATATTGGGGTCTCTCAAAAAGACTTGTCATATTACATGGAAAATGCACAGAATTAAGCATAAGGAAAGATGATTGTTTTGTACATTCTGTAGTATGGAACACACCGTGCTTTGAAATGGCACAGGTATTCTTTTTACTCGCTGATTATCTTGCTCTGATAGTCAGTATTGAAAAATGAAGCTGTGTACTCCAGATGTTCACAATGCTATTGCTTCAGATCATGGCTCATGTCAACATGTTTACATCTTAATTCGCGTGTAGCAGAATTTTTAAAACCAGATTCTATTGCAGTTGTTTGCAAATGCTTTAATCTTTTTTTAAAAAATCTAGATTTTGTTTAAATTTTGACTTTTGGGGACATATTTATTAACTTTGAAGATAGTAAACAGCAAAATCAAAAATGAGTTTGGGGAAGTTGTTCATCTGAATTAATCAAGTTTAAGCACACAAATAATTTTATTCTTGGGAAATGCTTTTTGTTTATGCATGTAGTACATATAAGTTTTGATTATAAAGCCTGTCTCCCCTTCCCCTCCCTTTAAATTGGGGCATTATGTAGTGGAACCTTTCGGAATGATGTTTAGATATCTCATTGCAATTGCTCTCTGTTTGGCAGGTTCAGACAGGAGTCTGGTGGTCTTTCCCTGACAAATGGAGAACTATTTCCAAGCAGAGGCATATAACCTTGATAAGGTTTTAGATGAATTTGAGCAAAACGAAGGTGAGTCATTTTGAACAAAATTAGAGATGTATGTTAGATGTACTCTACAAAGAACACCACCGCCAAGGAAGTGGTGTCTCCTTCCTGCTAAGGAAGAGAGACCTATAATCTCCTTTTTGGTTTTGAGTTCCAAATTGATCTCAGAACTTCTGAAAAACATCTGGTAACTTTGTTTAATGTTTCTTCTGTGTTTGTTAGTAATGTTCTTCTTTACCCATTAATCTTTTAAAATTTATTTCTCAACTGTTTTCATAGAAAATCTTCCATAGACTTTTCAAAGAGGAGTTTTATGGAGCATGATCTCAGTGGCAATATTTTTATGACTTATTTTTAACAATTCGGGCAATTTTAACAATAAATAGATTTATATATTAAGCTTCTTTTGCAGTTTTCAGTAACTTAAACATAGAAATGTTTTATTACGTCACATAAATTGTAAAATAAAAGTTGCCATATTCAAAGTATAAAGTTTCTGCTTAGTCTAATCACTGCTTTTGTGCTGTCAGGGAGGTTGAAAATTTTATAGGAATTGCAGGGTTTTTTAAACCTCTCTAGGTATCTAAAGTGTATTAATCTAAAATATATTTAAGTTGACTGTGCAAGTTTAACTTGTTATACTAATTGATGTAACTCTAAAGTTCTTGAATTCCAAAAACCTCATATGATTATGCTATTAGTGGCTCACTAAGGATGAGTTAGTTTTGTAAGATGTGTTTTACTGTTGTATCTGTATTTGAACCTCTATACATTTGCGTTTGAGCCATTCTAATGTACCAGAGTTAATAGAATATATAGGAGAGTAAGTTCCCTTAAAGTGGAGGGGTTGCATCAGTGTTCGACAAAATGTGTTTTTTACTGACTTAATTTTTCAGATGCCGCTGCTTCACCTACACTGTTGGGTGCAAAGTGGAATCAGATTCTAGATCCCCCTTCTCGTCGCCTGTCGTTTAACCCGCCCGTGGCCAACGTGAATGAAGCTACAGCTCCTGATGAATGTCAGCAGAGATTAAAGTCTTTCTCCTTGTCTCATTCGGTGAACGCACCAACAGGAGGAGGGGTTCACTGTGCTAATGGAAAGGATTTTAGTATAAGCTCAGAAACCCCCGTTATGTGGATTGATGATCAGGCAGCAGCAGATGATCAATTAATTAAGAGGAATAGCAGTCGAGATGATCAGTCTAACACTGCAGAAGCAAGAGACAAGAAATGTGGAAATGTAGCTTGCTTGTCGGAAGAAAAAAATGTACTAGTGGTGGCAGTCATGCATAACTGTGACACAAGAACACTACAAAGTGGTGATTTGCTGGATTGTAAAAATTACAACAGTCAGTCCCTAATGGACACTATTAGCTTTACACTGGATAATGAAAACCGACAGAGTGATCAGTTTAGTGTTACTGTAAATGGATCAACTGAAAAAGATACAGATATAGAAAAGCAAGTAAATCAGCTCTGTGCTGAAGATGACTCTATTACTCATTTGATTAATGCTTCATCTGAAAGCCTGTCCATTGCATGCCCCTCCTCTCGATTAAAGGATGATCTTAGTATGAGTAGAGATTCACTGTTTTCAGACACTACAACTGCAGGGATTAATGCAGTGACTCTATTACAGAGACCAGCTGATGGTGCCATTAAAACACAAGAAAATTGTATATCAGTTGAAAATTTTACTAGTAAAGCCATTACTCAGCGAACGGATCTAGAAGCTAAAACCTCTTGTTGTTCAAGTAACGAAAGCTTAACTGTAGAAGCCGTGGAAGAGCAAACACCCCAACAGTTTCCATCGAGGCTATCTGGGCTCACTGAATCTTGTCAACCTAATGTGGCTGGAAGTGGCAATTACAAGGAACATGTTGCAGAACATTCTGCATCTGAGGATGTTAGTGGCGTTGAAAGTGAAGTTAGTGAATGTGATGAAAATCTTGGCACAAGGGAATCGCTCAGCATAGTGGAGTGTTACCCTGAATCTCAGGAGATGACTAATTGGGAACTGACTAAATTGAATGAGATGAATAATAAGCAAACTCTGGGAGAGAATGAAAGGCTTCTGCAGACAAAACAGCCTGATGAGGCTTGTAGTAATAGTAGAGAATGTGGAGATGGGGTGATGGAAGCAGGCGTGGACTTAAAAGGAACTGGTACAGATGAGCTTGAAGGGCCCAGTCTCTCTGAGGTTGTGGGTACATCAGCAGCAAGCTCTTTGTCTAATGGTTGTGATTCCTATGGAATGCAGAATCCGAGTGTTGCTCATATTCCAAAGACTTTACCCTCCAAGGAAGACTCGGTGACAGAGGAGAAGGAGATCGAGGAGAGCAAGTCAGAATGTTACGCTAACGTTTATGAACAGAGAGGAAATGAGACCACAGAAGGTGGTGGTCTTATTTTAAACAGCACTGGTGACCAAATGAAAAAAAAATATTTACATAACCTCTGTAGTCAGGTCCCATCCATGCAAGGACAAACATCACCAAAACCAGTGACTAATATGCAGTCTATTAGTGTTCCTTTTGGTGGTGCGAGACCTAAGCAACCTACAAATCTTAAACTGCAGATTCCGAAGCCATTATCGGACCACTTACAAAATGATCTTGTTCCCCCAAACTGTGGAGGTAATAGTAAAAACAAAAATGTCTTTGGTAAGACACAACTAGGGGATACGTTGACAGCAGACATGTTTGCTGGTGACGCATCTTTAAATGTCTCTATTGCTGATGCTAATGGGGAACACTTGGAAGAGTATGAATCTGGAGTCTCTAGTAGTCCGTGCCTTGCAGTAGCCCCAGATAGTCCAGACAATGATCTCAGAGCTGGTCAGTTTGGAGCTCCAGCCAGAAAGCCTTTTACGACTTTGGGTGAGGTGGCTCCAGTTTGGGTTCCAGACTCTCAAGCACCAAACTGCATGAAATGCGAGGCCAGATTTACATTCACCAAGAGGAGGCATCATTGCAGAGCGTGTGGGAAGGTAAGCTCCTACTCCTTCCATCAGCCTGAGCTGGGCTTTTATTTGTGACCTTGAAAAAATGGAATCAGAGAACTTCCTAAACCACTGGCTGCAATTACCTGTGACATCTCTGCCTAAGGTGTTGGATCAAATTTGATCAGTTAACCAAAAGAAAAAAAAAGTTTTTAAGATCTAATCCATTTGGTGTTCTAATAGAAAGTGACTATTGGTTATTCATTTTTGTAAAAATGATTATCCTCTAAGGTCAGGGTGTTAGCTGATTGCAAGCTTTAGAATGCATTGGTTTCATGTGGAACTGCTATAAAATGGCTAAGCGCAGGAAACTAGTTTGCAGAAATACCTGCATTGACAATCCCATTAAAGATACTGAAACATATTGATGGGAATTGAAGTGAGCTATTGAGTTGCTGACATTTATGCTGGTTTAGATGACTAACCAACTTTGTTCTTTTAAGTCTTATTTTCTAATTTTTCTCACATTGCTTACACTATTTTCATGGATGTATCTTTACTTCTGAGGAAAAAATATACTATATTCTCTGTAACGTGATGAACAGATACATGTTGAGAAATTTTGTAATGAAGACAACAAAAACCTAATTTTTGTATTGTTTTGTGTTACATAAGAAATATTGTTGACAATCTTTTGTTGGTTTTGAAAAATTTTCCATACATGTCATCTAGTTCAACACTAATTCATATGCAGCAAATTTATGATAAACACTTCATTTGTATAATAATTGTAAATGTATTTTTATTGAAATACAAATTGGTGGTGCATAGCAAATAGGAATGTTAAGAAAAAAATATGATTATTCAAAAGAGGTAAAGATTTTTTGTCAAGTTGATATTTATAAATAGCTTTTAAGATAAAAATAAATACTAAAACCCACTAAAAATTAGAGTAAAAGAAACTTTGGTTCATTTAGGCCCTATCCAAAGGTTGCTGAAGTTGATTGAAAGACCTCCTGGCTCCTATAGGCAAGATGTTTAGCTACCAGCAGAGTGCAGGGAAGCAGAACGACTCGAACAGGACCTCAAAACAGTGTCTGGAAAGCTCACACTCTTACGCCACCTGTTTCTGGAAGCAGCCTAGCAGAAAACGCTGGCTTGTTCCTCTGTAACAGCCTGTGCTTGTCTGCCACGTGCCCTTTAGTAGCGAAAATGCGTAGCCAGTTGAGTAGATTTTATTCAAATTTGATTTTGAGACATGCTGAAAAATCTTTCCCAGAATATTGACTGGTATATACATGCTCCTTAAGCATTAGTGAAGGAGTTTCAGTTGCTTATTCCTCCCCACCCTGCGGCAGGTTGCAATGAAGTTACCTGGAACTAGTAATCCCAGGAGGTCAGTATGCGTCATAGGAAGTTGTATGCCTGCTTTCTGTGTGCACGTCGGGAGTACCAGAGGGCTCAACACCGTTCTCATTGCAGTTGAGGCTAAGAAATTCCAGCTGAAAGAATTATGTTTGTCACTGGTATTTTATCTTAGCTTCAACCTGTTAAATTATACTGTCAGTTATTCAGGTCATACTTTTAATTTTTATGAGTTTAACAAATGTGACTGAACTCCATTTACAGTTATATTTTCTATTCATTTTCATGCTTTAAACAAATTCATTGCTTGCATTCAGTTGTTTGCCTGCAATGACTGAAGCCTTGAGTTGCAAAAATGAGAAGCAGAGAAGAACTATAAAATAGAATGTACATGAACATATACAGCAAGGCCAAGAAATGTAGCTTTTCTGTTTGTTTTAACTATTGAAGACGAGCCTTGAAAGGACTAAGACTGTTTCTCTGCAGCATTGTTTTGGATGATGTGCAGGGAATGGGTAAAATAAAAGGCCTTTCTCCTCTGTAGACAAATGTTTCTCAGATGTGGAAAATGCCTATATTGGTATTTAATATTCTCAGAGTGTTCTTAGAATAATCCTCAGAAAGTCTTGTTGCTAGAACCTTTTGTTAGCAACTGTGATCAAAACTCACGTTGCACATGTGCAGTCAAAAGCTGCTGCAGAGAATTCTGTGATAATTCTTCTTTATGCCTTTTAATGCTTTTTTCCTTTTTTTAGAAAAAAGGGCAGTCATTAATAAATGGTCAGTATCAGTGTAAGTCAAATAATACTCAGCACTTACTGCAAAGTACCTTACGCCATTTAATTCCTGTAATGTTTCTGGGAGGAAAGAAACCAGCAGCTCTGCCAGGGAAGCTCTCTAGTTTAAGACATAACTGCTCTCTGCTGCCTGCTCTTGCTCTCTGGTGAAGACAACCATGCCCAAAGCAAGTCTGCTTGAGCGTGTGCCCTGGCTGCAGGTGACTACTGAATCACAGTGACGCTTCCAATGTATCTATTCAGTGCATGAACCAGGTAAAGACTGTGTCTTCAGCACTTGCAGTTAAATGTTTACATGGCAGAAATCACAAGAAGAAGGATTTTTCAACACAATCTTCAGCACAACAATTTCCTTTTGGGCGTTACCAGCATCAGGAGAGAAATGTTGGGTGAATCTTCGTTGCATTTGGGAATGAAAATCGCATTTGAAAATAGTGACACCTGGGAAGTCTGTCTGTTTTTAATTTCAGGATAATAACTACAGAATTAATGGAAGATATGAACCTCAGGGGAATGGTAGAAATTAACACATTTACAGTAAATTTGGAATAAAATTAAGAACCTGAAGAATGTGTATAAACACATTTTATTTGCATTTTATTAAGGCCAAAACATTAGTACCATAAAACTTTCTGTGCCACTGCTGTGTCATTTATTTATTTATTTATTTTAATAAGCGTGAGATACTGAGATAAATGACTTGGTTATTTCTGACAAGAAGACCAAATTGTCAGTTGTGCTGGGTTATATTCTTCCCCTGTCTTCTTACCGTTAGAAAGCTAATGCGCTGAAGAGGGGAGATACAGATTTTCTGTCATTTCGTTTATTTTCTCTTTTAATATTTAGATCATTGTACTCTATAGCCTTGCAGAATGCACAGTAAACAATAGTTTATCAAAGGGTTCTAAATTACATATTAATTATTTTGCCCTGTAGTTCTGGTAGAAAACATAGATGTTTCCGTGTCCAATGCTGAACTTCTGACTGGAAGTTTCTCTTAGAGAAATGGAGTAAAATAGGCTAAGATGTAACATTGTTAGTAATATTCTTTAAAGTTCTTGTAAATTGGATTAAAGTGTAAATATAGAAAAGTGATTTTGAAAGTATGTTTGCAGGGATTTTTTAAAAATCAGTTTCTAAATATGTGGAATTTATTCCCTCCCCCCGCCCCCATGAAAATGCAAGTATATCCACACGTACATGTTTGTTTCTGAAATGTGTAAGTTGACATAATTAGCAAATATTAAAAGTGCCTGAAATGAGACAGGATCACCTTTCTTCACATTTGATTCTGAGCTATTGTGGTGAACTCAGAGTTTACTTTAGTGGGTTTTCATATACTTCCATCTAAGAGACTGGGAAGGTAACAGGCTGCAAAGTGGTCATAAGTTGGTGTGAGTTTTAATTTGTCTGAAATGTAGTTAAGCTTATTAAATTGAGTAAAGCTTATTTCGTCTGAGGAGCCTGTGTAGTTGGTTGTTTACAATACAGAAATATGGAGAATAATAAAGAAATATTTGGGGAGATTAATGAAATGTCCTAGATCATAATAACACATAGCTAATTGTACATGAAAAATCCAACTAAAATTAAAATTTGAAATTCTTTCTTGAAATCTGAGCTCATTTATAATGGAGCTGCTGATGTTTCTAATCTGAGTGGGATATAACCATTCTGCATGTAATGGGTACTCATCAGTATCTTCATATGTCACCTAAACAGCAGCCCTGAGAAAATACTGCATTGTTGTTAGTATTTAAAACAATTAAGAAACCATTAGGACACCCTGATTTGTCTGTTCTGTAGGATTTTAGTATTGCAAGGGCTACTGTAGGATCATGTCTGCATGCAAGTGTTTTAATGCTAATGTCATTATGCTTTGTAAAATGCCTTGTTTTATACATGGAATATTTAAAAAACGTTTTTGATATTCAGTTAAGTGAGAAATAAGTTGTTGTCTGTGAAGAGATTAAAATGCTACTGAGTTGCTAATATAGATGAATTGCCCTAGTGCATGTAAAAATGACTTATTAGAATTATTTTCTTGCACATTTAAACATAGCTGACTCTGGGAAGTCCTCTTGCTTTTCCTAAGACTGAAGTTAAATCCAAAATTCTTCATTTTGTGAGAGGTTGTTATGTGGTATGAATTTATTAGCCCATTGTCATTTAAGCCAAACATACCTTTAAAAAATGCCTCTGTGTAGTATCAGGAGGCCATGCCTTCATGTAGTGCACATAATTCTACTGCAGCAGGATTGGTAGGAAAGTGGCCCTGGGCTTGGTCACTGTGGCTTTAATGGGAAAATTCTGCTAATTTACACCCATATTCTGGATGTCTAGAGCTGTACAGGTATTCTTTTGTCTGAGTTCATGTGTCTGGCACATTTTTTTTGAATTACACTGTATTTTTTCTCCTGGGTTCCAGGTTTTTTGTGCGGCATGCTGCAGCCTGAAGTGCAAGTTGCTGTACATGGACCGAAAGGAAGCCAGAGTGTGTGTAATCTGCCATTCCGTGCTAATGAACGGTAAGTGGAAGGAGGATCTGAAATGCAGAGATTCACTGCCTCTGTGCTGACCTGCAGTGGGGTTTTCTTCTTTTTTAGCCTGCTTAAATACTCCATTTTTATGAGCAAGTTTTCTAATGTGGCAGAGATCTTCGGGAAACCTGCTTGGGTTTCCTGTGGATATTTGGGATTCCTAAATGGAATATTATTAACAAAAAGTTAAAAATGGTAAGGTTATAATGAGTTTGAAAGCTCTCACACGTGAATGCTGTTCTGCAGAACTGCAGAAATTTTGTTGTGGTTGTTTGTTTATTCATTTATTTTTAAACTTGGGAGGTTATCCAAAACACTTCCCTCTGTCCTGTGATGTCTGTGTGGATAACTACTGCATTCTTATATTGGATACCCAAGGGAAGTTTAATGCAGTTGTGCCCCTCTAAGCTATGCACTATGTAGGAATTGGGAAATAGTATTTATCCATAAAATAATCCATTTTTTCTTGCTGCTGGGTTCTGAGTTTCATGTGCTAGAGGAGGAAGTCTTACCCAGAAAGCGGTCCACAGACTTGGAGAACTGAATTCTCATCCTTGCTTTGGCCATTTTACTGGAAAGCCTGTCCTACCCAGTGTGATGTCAGGGCTAAAATGTTAATGTATAGGTGAGACATGGGATGCGAGAAGTAAGAGGTGGACACAAACTTAACAAATAAAATAAATCAGGGTTTATATTAGCTATGCTTGCTATAAGGAAAGGCTGTATTTGCTTTAGATCAAGGAGCCACCGGATCTCATTAGTATTTTGTCCTTTATAGCTTTAATAGTTTAGATACGGGGTATTAATCTGGGCCAGCATAGAGTATTTTTGCCACTATAACCTCAGGCTGCTGAGTATTTTAAGAAATTCTGGAGCTGGCAGTTACCCTTGGGTAATTACAGTGTCCAGTTGACACCGAGACAGCTGCTGCTGAAAGACCCAACATTCAGTTTTTATGTCTGCAGTTCACAAGATACAAAAACTGGGTTTGGTTGACAGAGAATCCACGTGAGTGCTTAAACCATGAGAAAACCTGTCTCCTCATGAGAAATTCCAGGCACTTTATCTTTGGTTTATTAATGGCAAGATGAATAGGACCTCAGTGTCCAAGTATGCATCTGGATAACTGCAGCTTGATGACAGAGGTTCCTTCAGTGGTAGTGGAAGGTCCGACAAGTGCATTTTGGCATGCTGTGAGCAGAATGAGAAGTCGGGCAAATTCCTGTTTGAAGTGCAGACTTCCAACCATTAGGATAACTCTCCTCATTACTACTGGGGAGTTCCTGTGGACCTTCCATTGCTGGAAATGTCTGTCTAAAGTTTGAAGGTTTGATTAAAAAAAAAAAAGAAGAAAGAAAGAAATGCTGCTCTAGTTTGACAAAGAATTAAACAGGAAATTTCTGTTCTTTGGTGGTATTCAGACAAGATAATTATGGTTGTATCTTTACATCTTATTCTATAACAGATTACTTGGGCTGCTGTTTTCATAAAAATCTGTTATTTTTTGTGTCTAGCTAAACTTAGAAGTCCACAGGTTTATTTTTCTCCAAAGAAGTTCAGTGAATATTCATTTGAAAGTAATGGTGTGCTTAGTCTTGAGTGTCGAAAATTAGCAGACAGTTTCTGTTACTGAACAGGAGTAATTCTTTTCTGTCTCAGAAAAAGATTAAAGATTAATAAGACAATCTTTGTGCATTGCTTGGAAAAAGAAGTGCTAGGTTTTAATTATTAATACTTCTTCACTGTAAGCCAAATATGTAAGGTGACAGAAAATTGTAGGTTGTAATATCAAAGAATTAAGGCCAAGTCTTCAAGACTACATTGTTGAAGGGACTTTAAAATGTTACATTTTGAGATGTAGAAGGTAGAAGGTGTACAAGAACAAGACAGTACACATACCTGGCAGGGGTAGCTGCCTCCTTTTGTGGTGAGAAGGATTTGCTTTCAGCTGGGGATAGGAGGCATCTGAAAATATTTCAGTTGAAACCAAAAGTGTTCTTGTAAAAAGGTATAATAAAATTGATTGCGCTATAATGATTTCCTTTTAAAAGCCTTTCTGTCCCCTTGCCAGCATAGATGCACATTAATGGCAGCGAGCAGTGACACTATAGCTTAGTTTATTATAGGGAGAGTGCTGCTTGCATACTTGGCTATATTTGCCTCTGAGCTACATCAGCTTCAGTGTTTCTGTCCCTGCTGCAGTGTTTTGCAGAGATGCTTTCGCTTGCTGGTTAGCTACTCTGTAGCTAATCCCTCCTGATCCATGCAGTTTCTTTGTAGGTTCAGATTTTTTCACTCAGTACAGCAGGATAAGCAAAAATATTTGCACAGGTTTGGAAATAGGGGTCGGAATGGTATTTTACAAATAATTATTTCATTTGGTTGCTCAGTTTCAAGTTCTCTGTGAGCATTTTTAACTCTTTATCTTTTCAAGACCTAAGTGGATGCAGAATTGCTGTTCACAACACTTCAATTTAATTAGTTTTTCTTCTTGAAATGTAAAATTCTGGAAAGGGCTCAGGTGGCACGATACTTGCATCTGATTAGAGGGAATCTTTATTTGTAATAAAAAATAAGCTTGAAGGTGTAAGCCCTGATTTGAATTTCCTGGTACCTTGCCTAGCTACAAGCCTTTCTTAAAGCTGTAAAATAAATAACATCATGAAGATATATTCTGTTTTACTAGCTAGGAGAGGTTTCCCCGAGATGCATGTTATTGACAGAAGTTTTAATATGTTCTAGTTCAGGCAGTTGAACTGAGGCTGAAGTCGCATCTTTGGTAATTAATAGCATAAACTCTTTTATAGTTAGGAATGTAAGTCGATGGTACTGATCTGTCTTGGATATAAACAAATGCAGAGCACTTTTCTCATGTGGAAGAGAGAAATCCACTCAATTTTCCAGTAGGTTATAAAGCACTCACAGTAGGAACTGAAGCATTCATGGGCAGGTTCTTCTTTTGGACTATAGTGGCAAAAATTTAAGAATTTAGCATTTTAAATTCAATCTTTGTAAAGGAAACAAAATGCAGGATGAGGAACTAAGCATCGCTGAGGTCTAAGTCACTGTTACCAATTTCAGAAAATATTTCCGAATGGGGTGATACTTCCCTTGGATAGCATCAGTATTCTGTGCGTTTTTGCTACTTGTTTTGTTATTTAAAAGTTTCCTGGCCTTTTAAATAAAAGAAGAGAGATGGCCCTTGGAAGGCAGCAGAGCTCAGAGCTGCTATAGCTGAGGGCTTAACACACTTTTATGGAGTGTTAGGTACATTCCTGTGTGCTTATGTTGCTTGTTCTTTGTTTGCTTTAGCTCAAGCCTGGGAGAACATGATGA